CCTTCCTTCCGAGGAGTGGCTGGTGGGTTTGAACCACCAGCTTTCTGGTTAGCAGTCAAGTGCTTTAGCCACTATGCTACCAGAGCTCCCATATACTATATATGTGTGTATATATGTGGACATATACATATTGCTACTGTATGTTCAATCTTATTTGGAAGTGAGGATGCATATACTCTATTTTTTTTAAAAAAATATATATATTTAAAAGTACTCAGTTCATCCTTTCTTTATCTGATTTTATTTTTATTTTTACTTTGTCTAGGTTGAAGAAATTGTGGATATTGGATCATTTGCCCCAGAAGACATCCATATTCCTAAAATCTATGTACATCGCCTTATAAAGGGAGAAAGATATGAGAAAAGAATTGAGGTAATTGATTTTGCTTATTTCACAGTAGTTATGGATTTGACAGGATTTATAGATCTGCATTACCAGAGATATGTATCCCTGAGGCCATTTTGGATGATAAGGAATTATGGAGTTAGACTTCAGCAAGAATCTTGCTTCAGATCTTAGTGGGAGATTTGCTGTGCCCTCTCTAAGAGGACATGATTCTTGCATCAGTATCTTGTCTGTTATTGTCCAGACTGGGAGTTGCTTTGCATTCCTTAGGTATATATCACCAAGTCATATGGTTCCCTAGACTTCTTTATAGGTTTGTGTATCTTTTCTAACTCATGATGCATGGTTTGTCTGGTTGTCTCACAGTGAAGAGAAAGATAATATGGTCTTTGGTGGCTTCACCTCTCTTGGCCATTTAATGTTTCATTGTTCATGAATGTCTGCTTTGGAGTTGCTCTGCACTTTCATATAGTGCAGAAAGATAATGAGTTTTCATTCGGTGTGGTCAGCTAAGGTGACCATTTGATCATGGCAATAAGCGATTCTAAGGGAACTGAAGGTAATCCGAGGACACCAAGAGCAGAAAGAATGGCTTGCTGGGCCAGAAATGACATCAAGTTTCAGAAGTGCCTAGGGATTAGCAATAGAATAGACATGCAGAAAGTTGTTGTTGTTGTTTTATGTGCTGTCGAGTCGGCCCCGACTCATAGCAACCCCTCCTTGGGTTTCTGAGGCAGTATCACTATGGACATAGATCGCCCCATCTTCCTTCCGAGGAGTGGCTCGTGGGTTTGAACTGCCAACCTTCTGGTTAACAGTAAAGTGCCTTAGGCACTATGCTACCAGAGCTGAAAGTAGCAGAGGATATTAGAGAATCGGAGACACCTGAGGACATCAAACAGAAGTACATTCTGGCATCCAAAACTGGTGTCAGGGGGCTACAGAGAAAGGATGGGGCATTTGCAAACAGGAACCGGAGTCCATTTCAGTGTGATTTTGTAATGGAAATAGTTTCTTTTAACTTTTACTGTGATTTGGGTGAAAGTTTACAGAGCAAATTCATTTTCCATATGGCAGTTCATACACATTTTGTCTCATGACATTGACTGAGAATTCCCCACAGTGTAACAGCTTTCTTCCCAATGCCTCCCTGTAGTTACCTCTTCCCTGTGTCTTTCCCTGTCATGCACTCCTGCCCCTCAAGCTGTTTCCCTGTTCATGCACTGCCCTTCTGCTCTTCCATGACTGAATGTTCCAAATAGTGTATCTACCTGATACAAATGTTCAACCCATATGCCTGTCTGTTATTTGGCTGGAAGCCACAGGAGTGAGTTCAGTTCTAGGTCTGAAGGGTAGCTAGGGGATGTAGTCTCAGTGGTCTCACCAGACTTTACCAGATCAGCAAACCTCGTCTTTTTTTTATGATTTTTAGTTTTGTTCCATATTGTTCTCCCACTCTATCCTGGATATCCTACACTGATCCCCCTCCGAATGGTTGACAGTGGTAGCCGGCCATCATCTGGTTTTCTGGTGTCATGGTCATGCAGGCTGAGGATCACATGATCTATCAGTCCCTTGGACTAATTGTTTCCATGTGTGTTTGGTTTTCTTCATTGTTCTTTTTTCTGAATGTGAGAAGACTCAGCATTGTATGTAGATGGTCACTTGTGTACTTTTTTTTTTTTTTTTTTACTGTGATTTGGGTGAAAGTTTACAGAGCAAATTCACTTTCCCTATAGCAGTTCACATACATTTTGTCTCATGACATTGACTACAACTTCCCACAGTGCAACAGCTCCCCTCCCACTTCCTCCCCACAGTTACCTCTTCCCTGTGTCCTTCCCTCCATGCACTCCTGCACCCTGAGCTGTCTCCCTGTGCATAAGCAGCCCTTTTATTCTCCCATGATTGTTCTCTCCAAGGAATGTATCTACCTAATGCAGATGTTCACCCCATATGCCTGTCTTTTGTTTGGCTGGAATTCACAGGAGTGGGTTCAATTCCAAACCTGACGGGCAGCTAGGAGCCATAGTCTCAGTGGTTCTATCATACCAGCGAACCTGGTCCTTTTTTTTTTAAGTGATTTTGAGTTTTGTTCCACATTATTCTCCCACACTATCCAGGATCTCCTACATAGATCCCTCTCCGAGTGGTTGACAGTAGTAGCCAGGCACCATCTAGTTCTTCTAGTCTCATAGTCATATAGGCTGAGGATCTCATGGTGTACCAGTTACTTGGACTAATTGTTTCCATGCATCTTTGATTTCCTTCCTTCTTCTTTGCTGTGGACAAGGAGAGACCGACCCATCATTGCATCTAGATGGGTGCTTGCAAGGTTTTAAGAACCCAGTCAGTACTCGCCAAAGCAGGATGTGGAATGGTGTTTTGTGTAGCATGTTATGCCAATTGAGCTCGATGTCCCCTGCGACTATGGTCCCTACCCCACAGGTCCAACTATTTGCTCCCTCTGGGTAGCTGGCTGTGACCAAAACCTTGTCCTTTGTCAGCTCTACTATATACCTGGGAATTCTTACAGAATATACAAATACACTTGTCGAAACATTATGACTGCCAACCCTATATATGGTCATGGGCACACTCCCTGCAAAGTTTCCCCTGCATAGAAATACCTTATAGTGCAACCTGTGCACACATCTGTCCACCCATATATCTATGTTTGCCTTCACTGACAATGCAGTACTGTATGTGCAGAAGGGTTCATCTTTGTTGTCTATACCTCCCATGTACCTCTCTATGTCTTCCTCTTCCTCAGTGCCACCATATTGATCACTCACATTTGATACATTGCCTTTCTGTTCACCCAAATCACTACTTGTCTCTACCTATGTAGCAGTGTTCCCCTCCTGCCCCTGGTAAACTGTTTTGGTTAGCTGGTGCCACTCTGACAAGAACATATCACAAATGGGATGCTTGAACAAAAAGGAGTTTGTTACAAACAGGAGTTTGTTCTCTTACCATTTGAAGGCTTTAAGTCTGAGTTCAAAGTGCCATGCTGTAGGGACTGGTTGAAAGCCCCTTAGCCGTGGGCTTCAGCTCTGCCTCCTGCTTCTGGCCCACTGAAGCTATAGAGGCTTTTCTTCACTCAGACAGCTGCTGGCTGCTGAGATTTACAAGCCCAAGATTGACAGGTAAAAAGGCACAGTCCCAGTATTACCAAACCCCACAGCAAGCCATTAATTCAAGTCCACTAGAAGTCCCAAAGTTGGCAGAACATGGCAGGCTGCTACATGCAGGATTCAAGTGTGCCATAAGCTAGAGACTGTTCGCCAAGGCTTCTCCTTATACACAGGAAACAGACCACATCCCTAAGGCAGCTACTCAGCTCCTCACAGTAGATTCCACCATGAAGCTGATTACCAGTCTCATGGGGAATACTACATCCAGCTGCCCAACCACTCAATCAGGCGCAGCCAACAAAGAAAATTTCCTTCCGTATGTAAACCTTTCCTTGACTTTTTACAATAATGAACTAATACCATATTTGTCCTTTTGTGATTGACTTACTTCACTCAGCATAATGTCCTCCAAGTTCATCCATCTTATGCAGTGTTTTGCAGATTGTACAATATTCTTTAGTGTTGCATAGTATTCCATTGTGTGTATGTACCATAGTTTGGTTATCCATTCTTCTCTTGATGGGCACCTAGATTGTTTCCATCTTTTGGCTATTGTAAATAGTGCTGCGATGAACAGGAGTGTGCATATATTTGTTCTTGTCCTGGCTCTTACTTCTTTAGGATATGCCTATTAATGGGATTGCTGGAGCAAATGGTATTTCTAATTCCAACTTTTTAAGGAATTGTCATACTGCTTTCCACAGTGGTTGTATCATTTGACAGTCCCACCAGCAGTGTATGAGAGTCCTAATCTCTCTGCATCAGCACCAGCATTTGTTATTTTCTGTCTTGTTGAACTTTGCTACTAGTGCTGGAGCAAGATGGTATCTCATTGTTGTTTTGATTTGCATCTCTTTAATGGCCAGTGATCATGAGCATTTCTTCATATGTTTGTTGGCCCCCTGAATATCCCCTCTGGTGAAGTGTCTATTGATGTCTTCTGCCCATTTTTTAATTGGAATATGAGTCTTTTTGTTGTTGAAGTGTTGGAGTTTTCTATAAATTCTAGAGCTAAGTTCCTTGTCAGATATGTCATTACTGAATATTTTTTCCCAATGTGTAGGTTCTCTTTTGACTCTTTTGGAGAAGTCTTTGGAAGCACGTATAAATTTAATTTTTAGATGGTTCCATTCATCTAGTTTCTCTTCTGTTGTTTGTACATCTTGGGTTATGCTTGATAGTCTTATCTGTGCCATAAATGAGGGTCCCTAAATTTGCCCCTAGTTTTTCTTTGAGGAATTGTCTAGTTTTAGGCTTCACATTTAAGTCTTTGATCCACTTGGAGCTAGTTTTGTGTATGGTGTGAGATACAGATCTTGTTTCATTTTTCTGCAAATGGATATCCAGTTTTCCCAGCACCATTTGTTAAACAGACATTCTCTTCCCCATTTAATGGATTTCAGCCCTGTGTCTACAATCAGCTGACCATAGGTTGATGGATCTATTTCTGGGTTCTCAATTCTATTCCATTGGTCTGTGTCTGTCATTGTAACAATACTAGGCAGTTTTGACTACTGTGGCTGTAAATAGGTTTTAAGATCTGGGCGTGTGAAACCTCCTATTTTGTTCTTCTGCTTCAGTAATGCTTTGCTTATCTGAGGTCTCTTTCCTTTCCATGTAAAGTTAGTGATTGGTTTTTCCTTAAAGAATATCCTTAAAGAATGTTGATGGGATCTAGATTGGGGTTGAATTGAATGTATAGATTGCTTTGAGTGGAACTGACATTTTTACAATGTTCAGTCTTTCTATCCACGAGCACGGTGTGTTCTTCCATTTATGTAGATCTTTTATGGTTTCTTGACATAGTCTTTTTTTTTTTTTTTTTTTATTAGGATTTGGGTGAAGATTTACAGAGTAAATTCACTCTTCATACAGCAGTTCACATATACTTTGTCTCATGTCATTGACCAAAATTTACAATGCAGCAGCTCCCCTCCCACTTCCTCCCCATAGTTACCTCCTCCCAGTGTCCATCCCTTCATACTCTTCTGCACCCTGAGAGGCCCATTTGACATAGTCTTTTATAGTTTTCTTATTACAGGTCTTTTGTGTCCCTGGTGAGATTTATTCCCAAGTATTTTATTTTTTTGGTAGCTATTGTAAATGGCTGGCGGTTCAAACCCACCAGCCACTCCTTAGAGGGAAGGTTGGGCAATCTACTTCCGTAGTGATACCACTTCAGAAACCCAAGGAGGGGTCGCTTTGAATCAGGTCTGACTCAATGGCACATAACAACAACATTGTAAATGGTATTGATTTCCTTATTTCTTTTTCTGTAATCTCTTTGCTGGTATAGAGAAATCCAACTGATTTTTGGATGTTGATCTTATATCTTGGCATGATGCTAAATCTCTCAATTAGTTCAATAGATTTTTTACTGAGTCTTTTGGCTTTTCTATGTACAGGATCATATCATCAGCAAATAGGGATAGTTTGACTTCTTCCTTATCAATTTAGAGGCCTTTGATTTCCCTTTCTTGCCTTATTGTCCTGGCCAGGACTTCCAATACAATGTTGAATAGAAGTGGTGATAGAGGGCATCCTTGTCTGGTTCCTGTTCTCAAGAAAATGGTTTCAGTCTCTATACATTGAGAGTAATGTTGGCTGTTGGTTTTCCATATATGCCTTTTATTATGTTAAGGAATGTCCCTTCTGTTCCTGTTTTGCTAAGAGTTTTGATCAGGAATGGGTGTTGGATTTTATCAAATGCCTTTTCTGCATTAATTGATATGATGACATTGGTTCTTTTTCTAATGTTGAACCATCCTTACATACCTGATATGCACCCCACTTGGTCATAATGCATTATTTTTTTGGTATGTTGTTGGAGTCTATTGGCTAGCATTTTGTTGAAGATTTTTGTATCTATATTCATGAGGGATATTGGTCTGTTGTTTTCCCTCTGAGTGATGTCTTTGCCTGGTTCTGGTATCAAGGTTATGCTTGCTTCATGAAATGAATTTAGGAAGATTCTGTAATGAGAATAGTTTCTTGCCTGTTTCTGGATACTTCTATGATTGATTCCTGCTACACATTTGTAGCAAAACCTGGTGTAGTAGGGGTAAAAGGCAGTTGGCAGCAAGAACACTTGGTGAACCCTTCTTGATAGCCCTGCAAAAACAGATTCTGAAAGTCTTATCCTTCTTCTTTGCTCTGTCCCTTAGCACCTATGAAGAATTCGTTTGCAGGAGTCTTAAGAATAAGCGTGGTAACAGTCTGTGTGACAGTGATAAGGGGATTCTTTTCCTTCAAAGGGACAACATGGGTCTGTCTTCTTCACACCAATCTGATATATTTTATTTACTTCCCAAGGAATGAGTGCTGTCACCAAATGTCACCCAAGTTATTCACTTTTGAACTCTCCCTTAGATTGCTTATTTAGTAGTAATGGGACACAAATTTTTGTCCACTATTTCAGTAGTGGTGAAAAAAAAAAAAACATGGTTTACCTTCAACATGAAGAATTTGTTTCTGTTCATTTTAAAGCGTCTGTCAGTTCGGAAAGAGGAAGATGGAAAAACCAAATCTGGTAAAGCTGGAGATAACACAAGGGAACGTATCATCAAGCGGGCAGCTCTTGAATTTGAAGATGGCATGTATGGTATCCTTTATCCTTCTGGGACTGGGCAGTGACATAACTTTCAATTTTACCATATTGATCAGGGTACTAGGCCTCCTGGTAGTGGTTTATCTCTATTTGTTCCAAGATAACTTTTAATCTGGGCTTTGAATCAGTTCATTCTGGTCTGTCTCCCACTGAGAATTTGCCTATAATTGATTTTCTATACCAGATACGGGCAAGGAGCTCTGGTGTAGTAGTGGATGAGGCCCTTGGCTGCTAACTGAAAGGTCAGCGGTTCCAACTCACCAGCCACTCCTCACGAGGAAGATGGGGCAATATACTTCCGTAAAGATTTACAGCCTTGGAATCCCAATGGGGGTCACTCTGAGTTGGAAATGACTCAATGACAGTGAATTTTTTGTTTTTTAATACCAGATATGGTGAATTAGAATGAATGTTTTAAGAAGATATATAAGAATCACTTGGGAATCTTGTTAAAATGTAGATTCTGATTCAGTATATGTGGGGTGAGAAGGGAATTTTCAGCAGGACGTGGGACTGGAATGAACGATTTGAAGCCTTATGTTTAAAGCAGTGATCTATTTTTATAAAACATGGCATAAAACCTGAAGAAAACAAGCTACATGATTGAAATTATAATTTTTTTTTGCCTTCCTGAAACAAAGTGGCAACCAATAATTAAGTATTTTTTTAATACACAATGAATTTCAGTACAATTTGGTATTTGGTTAGAAGCTGTGGGGATAGAGAATATCTCAGATGAAGGCTTCAAATCTCAGAAGTACTGGTTCGCACCAGTGCTATTTACCTTGTCTAGCTTCTTAAATTTGCATACACATCGAAACATAAAGTCCAGCTCCTTAACAACCTGCTTCCTTCCTGGGGCAAAGCTCCCACGAGTGCACCCTTTTATGCCTAATGTTGTATAAGAATATTCAATGAACGATTCAAATTCTGCTTTAACTCTTTAAAATAGAGGTACTATAAAGGTAATTCAATACAATTCATATTTGGATTTTGAATGTGTTTAAATACCTCTAAGTCTGCCATTCTGTGAGTTCTCAATATATCAACATTAAGTTATACAATACAAATAATATATGATGAAATAAATATTTGTTGAATGATGAGTACAGTGAAAGCATACATACAGATCTGAGAGAGAAGGAACTAGAAACAGAAGTGACTCCATTCTGTGGATTTCCCCTCATCCGTGAATATCATCTTTCAGATTTTGACTGGGAGTGCTCGTTTTTCTTCCTTTCTTTTTACCTCTACCACCTCATTTTTCTTTGTTTTTCATTTTATAACTTGTGTTATGTTGAGAACTCATAGGGGAAGAGAATATTAAATTGCCTCCCTTTCTAAGTCTTATCAGCAAGACATGAAGTCAACCAGGTTTACTTAGCAGGTGAAAGCTAGTCACTAAAGCTTCTTCTCAACCCCACCCACTTGGCCTGCCTTGATAATTATACATTGAATGTGTAACTCAACTTTTGGGTAATCATCGTGCTTGGCTGCTAACCAGAACATCAGTGGTTTGAACCCACCAGTCACTCTACAATAGAAATGACCTAATGATCTTCTCTTGTAAAAATCTCAGCCTAGGAGACCTGGATGGGCCACTTTTACTCTGTGCCACAGGGTCACTATGGGTGAAAATGGACTCAACAGCATACAGTGACAACAACAACAGATGTTCTTTATTTACTGATACTGTATTGCCTTTGGAAAATACTTGTGAGACAGTTCATACCTATTGTCTTTCCATATGACCTACTCTTTTCAACTCAGAGTTTATACTCTTCTCTCCTTGGTGTTTGACTTACTAAAAAGTTTTAAAGAACTGAGAAAATGATAGAATATGATGAAAGAGTTGAGTTATAAGGCTTATAATTTGCATTGCTCTTACCTGAAAATTCGTGTTCGTAATGGATCTCATATCTCGATGTGTTCTGTGCCTCACTGTGAGAAATGAGGTACAAATAACACTGCACTTTGTGCTTTGATAAAAGGTGAGCCAAGTAACTAGTTTCATAGCTTCATAGACTTACCCACAAGCAGTGGGCTTGCTCCTTGAATTATCCTGGTGTTTGTAGTTAATAGTATGGCAGCAAATGCAGATTTTCTCTTTTTCTATATTGGTTTTTAATAATTTTACTGTTACTAGAATCTCAATGAAGTGTCATCATTCTTTGCACTAATTCTAGTGAGATTTGAAGCACACTGTGGTGTAATGGACAGGAGTGGTCAGTACTTCTAGCCACATGCCACATGCCAACCGATTTGGTTGGCATGCCTGTGTTGAGAAGCAGAATTGAACCCACCTCAATGTATACAAAGCCTGATTGATTCTCATTTGACATTGTAGGGAAGAAGATTCAACACCTTACATTAGTTCTTTGATACCTTAATTAAGCTCCTTTTTATGTGGTCTCAATTGTATTTGCTGAAACTTAAACCTTATAATTTCCTAATTATGTCGTTAAGATAATTCAGTTACTAAAGAATGGTAGCTCAGTGACCCCAAGAAGTCAGAACACTTTTAGGCCATTTTGACCTTGTCAGAAAACCTTTTTTTTTTTTTATTTAAAAATGGTAGTCTGTTTTCAGAGTCCTTGGGAGATGCAGAGGTTAAGCACTCAGCTACTAGTCAGAAGGTTGGCAGTTCCTACACACCCAGAGGCTCCTCGGGAGACAGCCCTAATGATCTGTGTCTGAAAGGTCACTGCCTTGAAAACCCGATGGAGCAGTTCAACTCTGAGTACATGGGGTTGCCATGTGCATCGCAGTCAACTCACCAGCAACTGACGAAAGCCTGTGTTTAAATATTAAATCTTCTTTATTTTTAGTGGAAGTTTCGAATAGTGATGCTAGTTTTTAAACAAAGTCAAACCATGTTTAATAATACATCAGTCATAATACATGAATCCAAATTATTATTATTTTATCCAAATGAAAATAAAATGTGTCTTAAACCAAAAATAAGAGCTCTGGTAGCATAGTGCCTAAGGCACTTGACTGCTAACCAGGAGGCTGGCAGTTCAAACCCACTAGCCACTTCTCAGAAGGAAGGTTAGGCAATCAACTTCTGTAGTGATACTGTCTTGGAAACCCAAGGAAGGGTTGCTATGAGTCGGGTCCGACTTGATGGCACATAACAACAACAATAAATCGAAGCCACTCGTTTGATATCTTTATGGGAAGCATTTTAATGTTATTAAGAAAGCTATGATTAATTAGAGATATGGAGTTCCATTCCTAACTGTGTCTTTAAGTGGCATTTGTAGGTAAGTCGGAAAAGTGCAAATGGTTCTTATTTAGACTTACTTCAGTGCAAGAAAAGCATGAAGCTTTTTCAATGATTTAAAAGCTTCAAGGGCAGCAAATGAAGGTGATTGTGATGAAGAAGTTGCTACAGGGAGGAATTGGTTTAAAGTGAGTGCAAATATACATAATATTAAAGGGCAAATAGTATTTACCCTTTAGCATTCTTAATCTGGGGACTACCTTGTAATTGTTTTAAAAAATTAAAATATTGCCCAGAGGGTGACTGAAAAATTTATTCACTTACTATATTCAGAACAAATGCTCTTTAAAGAAAGCTTCTGCTCAGATTTATGCAAGTAGAAGGTTTATGTCACAATCATCTTTCTACTTTCTATACGTTGGGCCTTAACATCTTTTTTTCCAGCTAATTTGGGCATCGGAATCCCTCTCCTGGCCAGCAACTTTATTAGTCCAAATATGACTGTTCATCTGCAAAGTGAAAATGGAGTCCTGGGTTTGGTAAGATGGAAATTAAAAATTTATTTATTTAATCTTGATGGAAAATGAGCCATTTCATACAGTGAAATCTTTTGATCACCAAGGCAGTTGTTACCTTAAAGTTCCCAACCTTATTTTTCTCTTTTCACCTCATAATAAAATATTTAACTTTTCCCTTATACAAGTAGTAATTGTGAACGTCTAGTGTTGCACTTTGTGCAATCGACAGTAATTTCCTGACTATAAGAGCTTTCTGACTGCCCCTTCCCTTGTCCATCTGTCAACCTGTTAGCTGTCATCTCCCCTCTCATTGTCCCTGTGAGGAGAGACCTCACAGTTTCCTTTTTAGCTAACTATTTCTACATCTTCTGTGCCTGGACAAATAAGGATATAAAAAGTTAGACGAGGAGAGAGGTAAGATTAGAACCCCAAATTCAGATCTTTAGGAACTACACATCAGAAAGCTGAAACCTCGCCTTTGTGGTTCCTTCTAGTGAAAATAACAGGGCTATTTAGCATGTACTCATTGACACTCCCAGAAAGGTTTATGAGTAACATTGGCTGCATAGTAGATATTAATTAAATTTTGATTTACTGAGCTATATTTCTAATAATATGTCTCTCAAATTTAGAAAATACTTTCCAAATGTCCAGTAAGGATGACTATTGTGAAAATACTACCAGTATGAGAAACAGAGTCTTGAAACAGGATTATTTTTATGAAGTCACGTTAAGTCTTTTGATGATAATCTCTTAGGATTTGGGAGGAAGCTATTTGTATTACAGTTTCAGTATGCCATTCAGTGAGAAACTTCTTTTACTAATTGAATATGTGGTTTGTTTGACAGGGTCCATATCCATTAAAAAGTGAAGTTGATGCAGATCTAATCAATGCAGGTAAACTCACTTATTACATACATTTGCAGTGTTCTTCTTTGCTGTCAGTTTAGTTCTGTGCCAAATAATATAAATTTGAGCTTGAATCTTTCTCTTACACTGGACAGTGCTCCATTGTTTCTATCTGTCTGTCTCTCTGTCTATCTCTCCTTCCCTCTCCCTCTCTCTCTCTCTGTGTGTGTGTGTGTGTGTGTATTTATTTATTATGAGGGGAGATGTCTTCTAGCCCCTGTTTGCCTGGCCTGCTTGCTTGAAGGCCCATGTCACTCAGATCAGATTAAAGTAAAGGAAAACATGCAAATGGAGCTTAGAGCAAGGTGAATGAAAAGAGCTTCAAGGGACAATCATTTAGGGCCCTGGCTGTAAAGAGATCGCATTCTTAAAGGGGGCAATTGAGGAGAGTTTGAGGAAAGGATAATTTGCAAGGGTGTGGGCAGAAATAAGGTCACCTAAGAAGCTATGGTGAATTACCACAGGGATCTGCTATCACCTGCAGGCTAAAGGGGCAGCTGTAGCAGAGGCCACGGGACAGAAGCTATGGCCAGAAGCTATGGTCTCGGGTAGAGAAACACAGCCAGCTTGTAGCATCCCAGGTGGCATTTTTCTCCTCTGCTGGTCTCCTCTTTGTGCCTCCTATTGGCCAATCCCAAGTCAAAATAGGTCAGCCTTCTCAGAATGGAGTAGAGTGGAGAGCAGATCTGTCGAAGAAAAAGAAGAAGAGATCTAGCACGTTGGGGTTTTTGTCATAGATAGTACTTAGAATCCTCCCGTCCTCACTGGGGTGGAAGAACATCCTCCAAAGGTACAAGACACTTAAGGAGGTCTCTGCCACTCAGAGTTTGTTCAAATTGCGGATTTAGCCTTGTCTTCTTTTGTTTTTGCACTCCTGTGCTTTGGTTTTTATTAGACATGTTTTTGACTGTGCTGTGGAGTCACATCTGTTAGCAGCTGAGAGGAGGAAAAACAAGTCAGGTCTTGTGGCCATCGCCACTGCCTGTGCTTGAGGCTATGCTGCTGCCCACACCAGGCTGCACATTCTACTCGGAATGGGGCTGCTCCTGAGAAGCTAATGGTTAGGTTCTAGCACGATTTTCTGCACCCGTCTCTTACTCCTATTCACTCTACCCCCACAAGAGTATTATTCTTATTTCAAGCTTAAAAATAGTACATGTAAATCTCAGAAGAAGAGTAATATGAGCTGAACATAAAGGCCAGCTGCCAAGTAGAACTGATGTTTGACACTTAGGATTTTTGGCAGTAAAACAGCTTCTGGTTGAATAGTTGAATTACTTAACACAACTCAACTCTGAAAGACCCACAGTGATAATGCAGTGACATTTAGCCAGGGCTGTAATTTAATTGTACTGCACCCTTTAGCAATAGCTCATTGATCTGTGAAAATATTTGCTGCTTGGTTTAATTAATTTATGAGGTTAGTGAATTATTTGCAAAATGAATAACTCCATTTTCTAGGTTTCAGGCTTGAGTTCATAAACCTTCTTTCCTTGGAAAAGCAGTCAATCTTTTCAGTGACATTGTTAGACAATAGACATTTCTGATTCCATTGAGGGTAAAAGTGGCTCTGTGCTAATGAAGCCACCAATGTTATATTTCAGCCTCTGAAGTGACCACATGTAATCTTAAACTAATTTGCAAAACAGGAGTTCATTGTGAGAGAGCATGCTGCAAAGTGCGTTAATAATATTCTAATTCATCCAAGTTCTCTTAGTGATTTTTGGCTCTTTTGATTTTGGAACTATCTACATTAGGGTGGAAATCTTTGAACTGGAGAGCACAGAATGTAAATTGGCTTCTAAAGTTGTCTGGAAATTACCTGGAAGATCAGCTCATTGTTTGTGTTAATTTGAAAGATTTGCATGAAAATCGCTTTGAATGAACACATAGGGTTATGTTTCTGGGTATAATCAGTGCATTAATATTTTAAAACAGTAATGGAACAATTTCTAAAACTCTCTTCTTTTCAATAGTCTCATATGGTTGCATAAAAAGGAATGACCATTTGTATAGCGCTGGATGACATACAGTGGGCTCTGGTGATACAGTGGTTCAGGTGCGTGGCTGCTAACCAAAAGGTCAGTGGTTAGAACCCATGAGCCACTCCTTGGGAGAAGGATGTAGCAGTCTGCTTCCAGAAGGATTTCAGCCTGGGAAAGCCTATGGGGAAGTTCTACTTTGTCCTACAGGGTTCCTATTAGTCAGAATTGACTTGATGGCAAGGGGTTGGGTTTGGTATATGGCATACAGCCTACTTTTTCATATGTACCATGGCATTTGAGCTTTAAGAGAAACCACACTTTAAGGTTGGGAGACTGAAGCCCAGCAAAGCGAAATGCTGTGATCAAGATCACATTGCTTGAGACTGAACTCACACTGTATTCTGCTCCTGGCCCACTGCTTCTTCTCTACACGTTAAAACAAACAAACAAACAAACAAAAAACTCACTACCATTGAGTCGATTGACTCATAGCAACCCCTATTAGGTTTCTGAGGTAGTAAATCCTTATGGAAGTACATTGCCCTGTCTTCCTTCCACGGAGTGGCTGGTAGGTTTGTACTGCCAACCTTCTGGTTAGCAGTCAGATGCCTTAGGCACTGCGTCACTGAGCTCCTTTCTCTATACATTAGGCTACCCCTATTGATAACATTAAGAGCTCTGGTAGTGTAGTGTCTAAGGCACTTGACTACTAACCAGAAGGCTCAAACCTACTAACCACTCCTCAGAAGGAAGGTTGGGCAATCTACTTCCGTAGTGATGCCACCTCGGAAACCCAAGGAGGGGTCGCTATGAGTCGGGTCCAACTCGATGGCACATAACAACAACAATTGATAACATAAGGAGCTCTGGTGGCACAGTGCCTAAGGCATTTAATTGCTAACCAGAAGGTTGGCGGTTCAAACCTACTAGCTGCTCCATGGAAGAAAGATGGGGCAATCTACTTCTGTAAACTTTTACAACCTTAGAAACCCAGTGGAGGTCATCACTATTAGTCAGAATCAACTTGATGGCAGTAGATTTGTTTTTTTGGCTTTATTGATAACATGACACTTACAGATGTGCAGAAGGTAGCACTTAGAGCATTTTGGAGTACTGTGAAGATCTGGGCTTGAACAACTGCAATATAAAATATCTGATAAATATCATGTTTTAGTTTTCAAATAAATATATGTTATATTTTTCTTTATTTCTTAATATTGTTTGTTTATTATACAAATAATATTTAAAATGACTTACCCTTGATTAAAACCATTTTCAAAAGAGTCCCCGTGTTAATCTCGTGGCTTGTAAGTATCCCTGGCCCTTGCCCTGTGGTTCTCACTGGGCAGGGTGGTGTGGGGTGGTAGTATTGGGGGTTGATTTTGGACTCCCCTAGGGAACATTTAGCAATGCCTGGAGACATTTTTGATTGTTGCAGTTGGTGAAGTGCTAATGACATCTAGCAATGGGGGCCAGAGATAACCAGAAAAGCCCCACCCCCCAGGAAAGACTTAAAGCAAAACACCAGACTCAATACCATCAGGCAATTCTGACTCCTAATGACTCTCATTGGGTTTCCAAGGCTATAAATCTTCATTGAAGCAGACCACCTCATCTTTCTTCCATGGAGCAGCTTGTGGGTTGAACCATCAACCTTTTGGTTAACAGCCAAATGCCTTAACCACTACACCACCAGAGCTTCTTATAGCAAAGAACTATCTCACTCCAAATCTTAGTAGTGCTGAGGAAAAGAAACCCCACTGTAGAGGCCTGTATCCCACATTTGGAGAGTCACAGGCCTGCAGATGAATGTACAAATAGCACAGTATTCAAGTTCCATCTGTCTAGTGATTGCACTACCTTTCCAGCTTTATCTCACACACGCCCTACAAGGATGTCTTGGTTCACCCATACTGGAACACCAGGTGTCTTCTGATCGTGACTCACACTTGCCTTGCTCCATGCCTTTGCTCTTACTGTGCCTTCAACCAGCCTTTGTTTCTGCCTCCTTCCTTTTCATCCACATGTCCCAACGGGGAGTTGCCTATTGATATCACACTATCCTTCTCCTTCAAGTCCCCGGTCATTTGTTGTTCCCAAATCCTTCTGCAACTCAGCAACATCCTTCCCCTGAACCCATCACACTTACAGTGTCTCTAAAAACGCATGCTACATTTTCCCTTGCAATGATTTGTGTGTATTTGGTTCCCTTGCCAGATAGTTCCTTGTGCTTCGATCAGCAGTTCTCAAGGTGTGGCTGCTAGATTCACAGCATCATCCTCACCTGGTGACTCGTTAGAAATGGAAATCCTCAGGCCCTACCATATACCTACTGAATTAGATGGGCTCTGCAGTCTGCATTTGCATAAGCCCTCTCTGTGATTCTGATGGCTGCTAAGTTTGACAACCACTAGTTTAGGGTGACTGTGTTTTGTACATACTACATAGTACATATATACTTGATATCCAGAGAATGTCTTGTTAAGTTGTGAGGCGAAGGACTTGGTAACTATGAAATTGAGTTATTCTCTTGTCCAAATACCATGAAAGGATTTAGACATATACATTGAAAAGTTGGAGAAGACAAAAATCAATCAGGAGTAGTGAAATAATTTGAAAGCCCTCTTTATGTGACAGTGATTATAGTTACATAACTTTCTGAACAAATTTGGGCATTGTATTTGAAAAACGTGGACTCCAACTTAGGATATTTGTTTTGCTTTAGTGTTGTTTAAAAATGCTGAAAATTAACTTCACTTCAGGAGAATAATTTATAAGATGCCATAATGTATTAGCAGGGGCTTGATAATAACTTTTTTCATGAGAGTTGTTTCCTGGGTTCTTGAATAAAACTTTGCTTCATAAATTACATGGGGGAAAGTAGAAGCTCTTCCTGTTAACCTCAGAGTTTCCTATAAAGTAGTATTTCATGCTCTATATATACTATCAACCATGGAGATTCCCCTTTGGAAGGTATTATGGTTTAGCACTTAGAGAACAAAGAATTCTGATTTTATGGCTTTTTTTTTTTTTTTTTGCCTTGTAAGTTTTTTTTCTTCAACACTCCACTTTGCAAGATTGGAGAGGATCTGTATTTGCTAGGCATAGAAGTTGTGTTAGACAAAGATTTAGTTGTATCATGACTTTCCTAATACCTGCATCTCATATTGTTGTTGTTGTTGTTGTTATTTGCCATCGTGTAGGACCTGACTTATAGCAACCCCTCCTTGGGTTTCTGAGGCAGTATTATTAAGGAAGTAGATTGTCCAACTTTCCTTCCAAGGAGTGGCTGATGGGTTTGAACTGCAGCCTTCTGGTTAGCAGTCAAGTACTTTAGACACTACGGTACCAGAGCTCTGGCTGTGTAACCTCAGTATATCAGCCAATAGCTTGGCCCTGTGCCATTCATCACTACAGCAGCAGTGGCGTTGCTGCTTTTATAAGTAGGTTTGCGGACAGGAATTATAATAATGATAATAAATAATGCTAACACTTATGGACCCCTTTATGTGCCTGTCATTAAAGTAAGGGCTTTACATTTAATCCTTCAAGTTTTAGGTGTTGTGTAAAAGCCCCTCCTGACCATATCAGAAAATATCTTCCAAAGCTTTTTAGTTTATGGTACTTGGAAAGAAATGATAATGTTTCCGTCATGTTTAATCATACTCCTTTGGGAAATAAATATTTCAGCATGATATAAATGGGCTGATCCTTTCTCCACACGTTCTCAAATGGAGGGGGATATTCATGGAGAAGATAGCTTTCAGCAAAGACTTGAGAAGCTGAGGGGACAGAAACGAAGCACAGCTGGGAGTGGGCGGGCCACTTTGGGTCCCTTTGTGCCCTGGAGCTTTTCCCTCTCCCAGTGCCGTGCTTGAATCACAGCTTTCCTTTCCCTTCTTTTTGTCTGTGCCATTAACTCGGGCAACTGTGGCGCATTCTCAGACATACTTTGTTTGCTGAACTACATCTGAACATGTTTCTGGCTGAGACAGAAGCTGCTTCTAGGCATCTGCAGCTCCTAGACAGACAGGAAATAGGTTACAAGAAGGAAGCAGCTCAGCCAGGAGTCAGGTGCCACTAGGATGTATGTGAGGACTGGATGACCACAAAGATCTTTTCCAGCTCTGAACTTCTACTATGAGAAGTAGATGTATATCTTGGAAGTTAACAGTAAATATATTGACCACTATTAATATGTTTTTCCTGATTTCACCAAAATCCTGCTGTTTTAATATGTCTTATAGGGCAAGGTAGGAAAGATGAGGGACAGAGAGAGAAGGAAGAGAGAAGGAGAGATTGAGATTGAAAGAAAAGGCTCAGATCTAATTATGTTAGAATTAGGTTGGTCCTCTGTTATTCATTGATTTAAAAAAAAAAAATAGCTGATGGGCTTCTCCTATGTCATTTCCTTTAAAATTGCATTTCTTCTCATGGACGTGTTCATTCCACAGTCTTTTTGCTCCAATGACTTAGAGTAGCTTTGGATTCTGACAGGTGTCACCAAGGAACTCCTTTCCTCCTCACTCCTGTAAGAGGAGAAGAGACCTGAGACTCAAACAGGATCAGTGGAGCCCCTTTTATTAAGCCTTAGACAGCACAAATACAAAGACAGTCATCCAGGATAAAGGTAACCATCAGCATGTACACAGTACAGAAAGCTGAATGGAATCTACTGAGTCAGGGCCATGGGTTTAATTATATGTGATTGGAAAGAAAGGGAATCATTACAGAATCATAACTGGTGGCAGATTGATTCATCACTGTCACAGGCGTTACCACAGAAGAGGGGAAAGGACCATGATTGGGATACATACACAACTGAAGATAAAAAGGCTTACAAAATCGGGCTCTGTGGTTTGACCACCTGGCTGTGTAGTGGTCTGAATATGACTAATGACCATGTGGCCTGAGTCATAGCCATAAGGTGAACCAAGACCCTAACCTTAATTTAAATTAGAAAAGGACACATTCAAGCAAGTTCCCTAGTTCTTGTGTGAGCATAGTCTACTTTCAAACCACACTCTTCCTGAGTGCAAAATGTCCCTCCTTAGGTTTGTCCTGAAACTTGTTTATGCATGGCCACAATGCTGGTTTAAGGGTCAAGAAGAACTGGCCTCTGAACTTATGTGAAGACTCAAAATGGTGTTAGGGCTCCCACAGCCTTCCACAAACCAAGTGCTTTAGAATTTAAGCTTTAATACACCCCTGTTAGCATTTTTACAACATCTTACAGTAATAAAAGTAAAAGTTGGTCACTTTTCTTTATCACTATGTAAGGACAATTCTCAACAATGTGAGTGCTGAAGTGCTCTTTTCACAGGGTCAGATGGTTCCCACTGTGCCCCATTCCGCTCTCCCTTCTTCTTGTGCTACTGCACTTTGGTGAAGGAAGTCTTAGTTCTTTAAGAAACAAAGAAGGTGCCTTTACCATGATACTTTTAAAAATCTAATAGCCTTTTCTTTTGCTCTCTTTCTTTTGTGTGTTTTGTGTTTAGGCAAGGAAACAGTTACTGTTCTTCCAGGAGCCTCTTATTTCTCCAGCGATGAATCATTTGCAATGATTAGAGGGTATGTAATAGCTGGGCCCCTCCTATTTCATATGGTGTGGAATAAGCTGAGTCATCCCCTGAATGAGTTAGCAAGGCTCTGAAACCAGAGCTTCCAACCCGTTCATTAGGGTTCCACCCCCTCCTGAGAATTTGCATTTCCACCCCAGATATACTGAATCATAATCTACATTTTAACAGGATCCCCAGGTGATTCTTCTAGATAGCCAAATGATTCTTATTTATACATACCACTTGCTTATTGAAAACTTGTTAAAATGTAGATTCCTCCTCTGCTAAGGGAAACAAATTCACTATGCATACCTACTTTAATTTGTTCTTGGCATCACTGTAAGGCATAATTTTTAAAGAACTCAGTGGTTATTCCTCTACATAAAAAAGAGGTGAGTAATAAGTGTGAGCTTGTTGTTGTTAAGTGCCTTCGAGTAGGCTCCCGATGAACAGCAGAACGAAACACTGCCTGGACCTGTGCCATCCTCACAGTCTTGTTTTGCTTGAGCCCATCGTTGTAGCCACTGTCTCAGTCCATCTCATTGAGGGTCTTCCCCCTTTCTTTTTACTGACCCTCTAACTTATCGTGAGATCCTTCTCTGGGAACTAGTTGCTTCTGACAACATGACCAAAGAAGGCGAGACAAAATCTGGCCTTTCTCATTTACAAGGACCATTCCGGCTGCACTTCTTCCAGGACAGATTGTTCCTTCTTCTGGCAGTCCATCACATTTTCAGTATTCTTCCCCAACACCACAGTTCAAAAGCATCAGCTCTTCCAAGGTCTTCCTTATTTTTTGTCCAACTTTCACATGTATATTAAACCCATTATTATTGAGTCGATTTTGACTCATAGTGATCCTCCATTGGTTTTCCAAGGCTATAAATCTTTACAGAAGTAGATTGCATCCTCCTCCTCCCAAGGAGTAGCTGGTGGGTTTGAACCGCCAACCTTCTGGTTAGCATCCAAATGCCTTACTCCTTATACCACTAGAACCCCTTTCCATGCATACTAGGCAATTGAAAAAACCATGGCTTGAGTTAGGCACACCTTAGTCTTCAAATTGATATCTTTGCTCTTTAATACTTTAAAGGGTCTTTTGCAGCAGATTTTCCCAGTGCAATATGATGTCTGATTTCTTGACTGCTGCTTTGATGGGTTTTGATGGTAGATCCAAGTAAAATGAAATCCCTGACAAATTCAATCTTTTCTCCATTTATCATGCTCTTGAATGGAGAGTAGCTAAAACAAATGGAAGAAATGATGAAAGAGCTGAACAGAAGATTTCAAAGGGTAGTTTGAGAAGGTAAAATAAAGTATTATAATGAAATGTGCAGAGACCTGGAGTTAGAAAACCAAAAGGGAAGAACACGCTTAGCATTTCTCAATCTGAAAGAACTGAAGAAAAAATTCAAGCTTTGAGTTGAAATATTAAAGGATTCCATGGGCAAAATATTGAACGCTGGAGGAGGTATCAAAAGAAGACAGAAGGAATAAACAGAGTCACTGTATGAAAAAGAATTGGTTAGTGTACAACTCTTTCAGGAGGTAGCATATGATCGAGAGCCAATGGTAGTGAAGGAAGAAATCCAAGCTTCACTGAAGGAACTGGCAAAACACAGGCTTCAGAAACTGATGGAATACTTATTGAGATATTTCAACAGACGGATGCAGTGCTAGATGTGCTTACTTGTTTATGCCAAGAAGTTTGGAAGGTGGCCACCTGGCCAAACAAGTGGAAGTTATCCATATTTGTGCCCATTCCAAAGAAAGGCAATCTAACAGAATTTGGAAATTATCAAACAATATCATTAATATCAAACCCAAGTAAAATGTTGCTGAAGATAATTAAAAAATGGCTGCAGCAGTATGTTGGCAGGGAAAGTCCAGAAATTCAAGCTGGATTCGGAAGTGGATGTGGAATTAAGGATATCATTAGTGCTGTCAGATGGATCTTAGCTGAAAGCAAAGAATACCAGAAAGATGTTTACTTGTGTTTTGGCATTTGACTGTGTGGGTCATAACAAATTATGGATAACATTGCAGAGAATAGGAATTCCAGAACATTTAATTGTGCTCATGAGGAAGCTGTACGTAGACAAGGAGGCTGCCATTCATGTAAAACAAGGAGGATCCTGCATGGTTTAAAATTAGGAGGGATGTGTATTAGGGTTGTATCCTTTCACCATACTTATTCAATCTGTATGCCGAACAAATAATCTGAGAAGCTGGACTATATGAGGAAGAACGTGGCCTCGGGATTGGAGGAAGACTCATGAACAGCCTGCGATACACAGATGATAAAACCTTGCTTCCTGAAAGTGAAAATGACTTGAAGCACTTACTGATGAAAATCAGACTATACAGCTTTCAGGATGGATTACACATCAACAAAAAGAAAAGAAAAATCCTCACAACTGGACCAATAAACAGTGTCATGATCAGTGGAGAAAGTGTGAGCTTAAAGCTGTTTTATTTGGAAATCGCTTGTGGGCTGGGGGAAAGCAAAGGTATTTTGGGAGCATAGAATCACTTATTAATTTTAATTGATTATGATTTTCAGTAAAGGGTGCCTAAAATTTGTGAAGTTTGTTTCATCGCTTCTTTTTTCTTTCCTTCTCAGGGGACATGTTGATCTAACAATGCTAGGAGCGATGCAGGTTTCCAAATATGGTGACCTGGCTAACTGGATGATTCCTGTAAGTAGCAATTTGTGATTCTGAATTACGCTTTGGTCAGAATAATTATTTTTCACATATTAAAAGTCCTATCAAATTGATATAAGGATACAAGATAATTATTGAAAAAGAATAAATATTTTAATGTGTATTTCCTATGTGAATCAAATTTTCATTAAGCAATCACTGAGAAATATTCAAGTTTGCCAGTTTTAGTCTGTCAATGGCGTTAAAAATAGGCAGGTCAGGGCCAAAGCACTATTTCTTTAGGAAAACAGAGATGGAAAGATTTTAAAAAATATATTTAGGAGATAGGTTAATTCTACCCTGATGAAAATAGGAAATAAAAATATTTTTCATAACTAAATTCTGTAACCCGAAAGAACCATTAATAATATTAATTTTTTTGTTAAATATATTATTTCCTTATTCATAGTGTTTAAAAATCTTATTTTGATCACATGATCAGTCACGTGATACCCAAAGTTCTGTTTCACATTGTCCTCTGTTGTGAAATACAAAACCTGTAATTTTTTTTTTCTTACTGAATTGAATGACTTTATTTTTAAACAATTCCAAGTGACATGTATCACTTCTGAACAGAAGCTGTAAGAACCAGTGTAAGATTCACTGAGTCTTTTTTAGTTCAGTCATACACAAAAAATCAAAGTATTTTCAGTATTGTTTGCTAAAACCATGATTATAAGACTTCTTTGTTCTCCCTTACTCTCAACTTTCATGTGCAGATTAAACTCACTGCCATTGAGTTGATTCTGACTCATAGTGACCCCTATTGAGTTGCCAAGGCTATAAATCTCTACAGAAGTAGATTGCCCAATCTTCCTTCCGAGGAGTGACTGGTGGGTGTGAACCGCCTGCCTTCTGGTTAGCAGTCAAATGCCTTAGGCACTAAGCCACCAGAGCTCCTGAGTTCTGTCATAAAACTAGCAATTTCCCAGATAGGGACTTGTCTAGGTCTAGAGTAAAGACTAAGTGAAGTAGAGCTGCATGTAACCCCAATTGTTGATGTAAATAAAACAAAACAAAAAATTCACCCCAAGCAACAAATAAACTCTTTTCCCATTGGGTTTCCCAATCTCTAGGCCTCAAGCCTAACCATTTAATAAAAAAGCATGTGAAATGTCATATGGAATCTTACCGGCTTTTGTGATTGAAATGCCATAGTTAAACATTCTGTTATTTCTGAGATACTTACTTTAACAAAGATGTAAAGCTTAATTTCTCTCTCCATTAGAAATCTATACTCTTGGACTTTTAAATTTTACTGTTTTGAATAATTGTGCCCCACTTCTGTCCCAGAATCCCTACCACTGTGTCATTTCAATCACAACCAGGTAGGATACCAAAGAGGATTATATGTTCACTTTGAAATGAAATGTATGCCTACAACCCTTTAGAAAACAAAGATCCTCTTTCTTTTTATAAATATAACCCCATGGGTTATATCCTTTATTTTATAAGTGAGTGTTATATTTAGCTGAAAGGTAACCTCAGGGGATAGTTTTTGGTTCATGGTTTAAAGGTGATAGACTCAGGGAGTCCTGTAGTCTAAACTGGTCCAGGAACTCTGGGCTTCTTAAGAATCTGAAGTCTGTTCCACACATTTTTCTCCTGATCTATCAGGATCCAAGTATTGTGGCCTTGATCAGAACCATCAGAGTAGATGAGGACACACAGTTCATGTAGACTATTCCCGGTAGACTATTTTTTTTCTCTGAGTTCTTTAGTTCCTTCTTACTCTTTTGCTCTGGAAGGCAGAGACCAATAGTTGTATCTTAGATGGCCACTCTCAAGTTTTTAAGACTCCAGGCACTACTCACCAAACTAGGATGTAGAACATAAACTTTATGATGTCAGTTGACTGGGTTGTCCCATGAGACTATGGTCCTAAGCCTTTAAACTCAGAGAACCAAACTCACCAAGTATTTGGTTTTGTCTAAGAAGTGTCTGTAACTGTGCTCCTGTTTGGTTAATTATATATATGCATATATATGCAGCACACACATGCCTGCATATACATATATGTGTATACATATGTACACACACATATATACCCATACATAGTGATTCTGCCTCGGAAACCCAAGGAGGGGTCACCGTGAGTCGGGTCCAACTCGACGGCACATAACAACAACAACAACACATGTACACATACATATATAATCACAGATTTTTTTGTTGTTGTTGATACTGCAAAATTCTATGTGTCTTATCTAATAAATATGTCCTTTTCACAAATACTGTATTAGTCCATTATTGTAAAAAGTCAAGGAAAGATTTATCTATGGAAGGAAATTTTCTTTGTTGGTTACCAGGGGTGGGAGGGGAGGGAAGGGAACACTGTTAGATAGGTAGAGACCAGTACTGATTTGGGTGAAGAGAAGGGCAATGTACCAGATGTGAGTTGTCAACATAGTGGCGTTGAAGAAAAGGAAGACAGAGAGAGGTACAAACAACAAAGATGAAGCCTTTTGCACGTAAGAACTGTGTTGTCAGTGAAGGCAAACATGGATATATGGGTGGATAGATGGGTAGGCAGGCCTGAACTATTAGGTATGTCTATGCGAGGCGGGGGGGAGCCCTGGTAGCTTAGTGCCTAAGGCACTTGACTGCTAACCAGAAGGCTGGCAGTTCAAATCCACAAGCCACTCCTTGGAAGGAAGGTTGGGCAATCTACTTCGATAGAGATACTGCCTCAGAAACCCAAGAAGGGGTCGCTATGAGTCCGGTCTGACTCCAGGGCACATAAAAACAACATGGAGGGGGGAGTGTGCCAAGACCATGTATATAGGGTTGGTAGACAATGTTTCTGTAAGTATATTGCTATGTTCTGTAAGAATTTCCAGGTGTATAGTAGAGTTGACAAGGGACAAGGTTGTAGTCACTTCTTGACCATAGCCAGCTACCCAGAGGGAGCTGGTAGTTGGATCTGTGGGTTCAGGACCATGGTCACTGGGGACATCAAGCTCAATTGGCATAACATACTATACAAAAACATTGTTCCACATCCTAGTTTGGTGAGTACTGACTGGGATTTTAAAAGCTTGCAAGAGCCATCTAGATGGAATGATGGGTCTCTCCTTGTCCAGAGCAAAGAAAAAGGAAGAAAACTAAAGATGCATGGAAACAATTAGTCCAATGGTACACTATGTGATCCTCAGCCTATATGACTATGAGACCAGAAGAACTAGATGTCTGGCTACCACTGTCAGTGGAATGTCAGCCACTCAGAGGGTGCTCTGTGTAGGAGATCCTGGATAGAGTGGGAGAACAATGTGGAACAAAACTCAAAATCATTACAAAAAAATAAAAGGGACCAGGTTTGCTGGTCTGATGTAGCCTGGTGGAACCCCTGAGACTATGGGCCCTAGCTGCCCTTAGGTCTGGAACTCAACCCACTCCTGTGGCTTCCAGCCCAACAAAAGACAGGCATATGAGCTGAACATTTACATTAGATAGATAACACTCCTTGGAGAGATCAATCATGGGAGAATAGAAGAGCTGTGTATGCACTGGGAGACAGCTTGGGGCAAGAGTGCATGGGTAGGAAGGACACAGGGAAAGGTTACTATGGGGAGGAGGTGGGAGGAGAGCTGTTGCATTGTGATAAATTTCAATCAATGTCATGAGACAAAGTGTATGTGAGCTGCTGTATGGAAAATGAATTTGCTCTGTAAACTTTTACTCAAATCACAATAAAAATTTTTAAAAAAGTCCCTTTCTATTGGGTATTTCTTAGTGACATCATTTACCTTGGTCAACTTGTAATGTTTAAACATGCTTGTGAAATGTGAAGAGTTTTCATCTAATAATGACTTGAAACAAGGAGGCAGCCTCTTAGAATTATCTTTAGAAAAAGGACTGTAATCAGTCTCTTAATTCATGAGTGTGGTTTGTTATATTCTGTTTTGTTTCTTTTTGATTAAGTGCATGGAAATACTGTCCATGATTATGAGCTCATATGTGAGTGAACCCTATTTTGGCTGGTAATTCAGATTATTCTTATGTGTGTATTTAAGGAATTCCATGTATTTCTCTGTAGCACCAGCTGAAAACAGTTTGGTTAAGTAATTGAGGCTGGAATTCTATCATTTGACAATGTTTTTGAAATCTCTCGTTTTTTTCTAATAATGTTTTGAGGAAGGATTAATATAGTTGATAAAATGTTTCAGATTGCATTATTTTCATTCTTTTGATTTAATATTTCCTCTCATTTTGAAGATTTAATGATCATTGAAGCACTGGTTAAACTTGGTAGCGTATTGGAATCACCTGAGGTGTTTTAAAAACTACTGCTGCCCAGGTCCCACCCCTAGAGATTCCAATTTAATTTAACACTAGGAGCTTTTTAAACTCCCTAGATGATCCCAATATTCAACCAAGTGTGTTAAAGAATGACCATAATTTATATTTAAAATATATGGGAGAAAATCTTTGTTCTAGTAATAGGAAGAACTCTTAACAAATTATGAATTGTATTGTTATTTCAGTTATAAAAATATTCATCATCCTAAGTCTGTCATAGACATAAAAGTTAGTACCTTTTGGGGGCTTTAAAGAAATAGGGAAGAATCTGAGCATCATACACTGAGTCAGATGGACAGTTCATGGGAATGCTTATTTGTGTAGAAATGAGAATGTATTTCTGTTTTAAAATTTTAGAAAAAGGCCAAATGAGGTAGTAAAAGGATTATAAAAAGGCAAGCTCTGAGTTTTCATCCTGATTCTACTATTAATCAGGAATATGACCTTAAATATATCACTTAAGCTCTCTGTATTAAAGTGTCCTCATCTATAAAATGCGGACTGGATCATCTCAAGGGTCCCCGCTGGCTCTCATCAAGGTTAAGAACAAGGGCACTGGAGTGAGACAGACCTGGAGTGAAATTCTGGTTTGTCACTTGCTGGCAGTGTAACCTCAGGCAGTTGGCTACTTTTCCTCATCTGTAAAAGGGAGTAGTATACTAGCATCTGTTTTACAGGACTATATATAAAGGATT